AGCAGCAGCAGCAAAAAAAAGCTAATGCTATTCTAGGCTGCATCAACAGAAGTATAGTGTTCAGATCAAGGGAAGTCATAGTGCCGCTATATTCTCTCTTGGCCAGACCATGCCTGGAGTACAATTCTGGGCACCACAATTCAAGACGAGAATGGTTACTGTTTTGTTTAAAGGTATTTTGGAAATAAGCGCTTTCCCCCTCGACCCTGCCCTTCCCCCAACATTGTGCCCCTGTCGGCATTGAGTGTGGCTGCCTGGAAAGGGTCAGCAATATCTAATGTGACAGATGTTGGTGACAGGACTGCACCATGCTGCGGAGTCAGGAGGCACAGCTTCGCTCCATCCTCCTTGCATTACCACCACACCTGGAGGGCACACCAGAATAGGCGTGTTGTGCCTTTCTGTTCATGCACATGCACCCCTGTACACTAGAGTCAAGAAGCAGCTGCCCATTGCTTAGTTGTTGAACTTCTAGAGATTCGGAGGCAGTCATGGCAAGAATGGCAGTGCCAGTGTGCACTGCACACACTACCAGCGGTTTTTTAAAAACCCCAAATATAGGGGCAGTTGAAGCATGTGGTGGGGTCAGATTGGATGGTTTTTAAATCCCAGCCGATTCTCTGATCTTCAGGCCCTGGTGTCCTTCCTGGAAATGCACCACATCTTTCAAAAGCAGCGTGGAAAACAGATTAATGGCGAGAGTGATGGAGGACTAGGCTATCAGCATTCTTTCACTGTCAGGTTGATGTAAAGCATACTGAGCTCTGTGCTCCAAAAATGAGGAAACCGAAAGCAATTGACATTCTCCATCATGTTTTAGATAAGGGGTTCACATGCCTTGTTCTATCAGTTGTTTAGTATGAGAGGGAACAGGGCTGGAGCCATTTCATTCAAAGTAATGCTTTTCCAAGAAGAGGAGAATCTTGCTTGGGGGTACTATGGGTCATACAGCGATGTTGATATTTGAGAAGATACGGAGTAAGGCTAATCCAGTAATTATTGGGAAAATGGAGCTCCGCTTCCACGATGTCGCAAACATAGAGAACACTGGTTTTTCGAAAAGCTGTAAGATATTTTAAATGAGTAGTTCCTGTGCAAGAGGGGAATAGCGTGAACAGATGTGTAGGGAAGTTTATGCTGATGTTATATGTATCAATAGAGTCTGGTTCACCAGAATGAAGGCGGCATTGCTCTATCAACCATAGCCTGCACGCAGCCAGTCCTTGCCAGCTTGCCTTTCTGCTTACCTTCAGTTCAACGGGCGGCAATACCTGTCAGCTCCCTCTTCCTCAATTTCAGTGTTTCCCTTGTAGGACTCAGTGGGCAGGAGGGTGGGGAAGAAACTAGAATTAGGCTTGAATTTTTGCAAAGGCCTTTGGCTGTGAGCAGTGAGAGGAGCCTTCAGTGCAGGAAAGGAGGCTGATAAAGTTATTAAAGGAGTTAAAGAAGCATAGTATACATGTGTATATATAAAAGCACGGTGGCGCGCGCATGCCGGCTTGCAAATGCATGAGTGAGTCTGCATGTGTCCCTGAGCGTATGTGTGCGAGCAAGAGAAGAATGTACAAATAATATCTTAATATGGCTCCTTGAGCAGTTTAAGATTTGCTGTTGGGACTGCACTGAGATCACAACCTGTTCCTTATCCAGGTGTGTTGAAGTGGGATTTGCCTTTGCCAAGTGATGCCACTGCTGTGTGTAAGGGATGGAAGTGTGCAGCCTGCTCTAATCATTATGATGCAAATAATACTAATACTACTATGGGACAGGTGCTTCCTTCCATTTATATGTGCATCTTTATATATTCAGTTCAGAATGTATTCATCCTATTGACATCTAGGAAAATGGCTGAAGATCTGTCTATCTGCATTTGCAAAGGGGATTGCAATGTGCGCATATGAACTTGCATAATAATTAGGATGTCTAATTAAGCTGAAACATCATGTCCTTTTAATTATGCAATTAAGATGTCAAATTACATAATTAAGGCATGTAATTACATGATGAAAAAATGTTATGAAATTTTATACTGCTTGGTGAAATTGCATTTTAAGCTTAAAAAAAGAAGAAGAATTGCACCACCTCTCTCAATACATAACAACTTTCATCTGTTCCTTACTAAAGCAAAGGCATGCGTAGCAAAACAAATAACACACCCAAAAATTATAAGGGTGGAAAATGAACATTTAAACGTTTTAGCTATTAAACTGGGATTCTGGGAGGTAGAGGCTATCTGGCTGGTTTTGCCATAGATTCCTAGTCAATCACATAAACTTTATATTTGCATAGCCTACAATGGCTGTGCAAGAGCTGTACTGTGGCCTTAACTCATTGGTGTTACTTCATCTCTGTTTCCCTACTTCTTCCTCATTAATGTGACAAAAAGCAAAGGCAACATCACCCTGCACGCGCTTCATCTCACTGGGTGTCAGCCACAGGGCAAGACAATGTATGGCACAATGGCGTCGTGTCGCCAGTGGAGCACAGTGACCTACGGTAAATGTTATGCGGAAGAAGGGGCTGAGAGACACATTACAGCAGCGTCTGTGTATCTCTCATAACATCTGCTTAAGCTCTTTCTGTACTGGTTATGAGCGGGTATCAGATTTGGCCATATTCACACCGTACCTTTAAAGTACTATGATGCCCACTTTGAACATTCTTGGCTTCCCCCAAAGAATCCTGGGAGTTGTAGTTTATTAAGGGTGATGAAAGTTGTTAGGAGAGCCCTATTTCTATCAGCTACAGTTCTCAGTATGTAGGGACGCGGGTGGCGCTGTGGGTTAAACCACAGAGCCTAGGACTTGCCGATCAGAAGGTTGGCGGTTCGAATCCCCGTGGCGGGGTGAGCTCCCGTTGCTCAGTCCCTGCTCCTGCCAACCTAGCAGTTCAAAAGCACGTCAAAGTGCAAGTAGATAAATAGGTACCGCTCCAGCAGGAAGGTAAACGGCGTTTCCCTGTGCTGCTCTGGTTCGCCAGAAGCGGCTTAGTCATGCTGGCCACATGACCCGGAAGCTGTCGGCGGACAAACGCCGGCTCCCTCGGCCTATAGAGCGAGATGAGTGTGCAACCCCAGAGTCGGTCACGAATGGACCTAATGGTCAGTGGTCCCTTTACCTTTACAGTTCTCAGAGTGGTTTAACAGTCAATACTTCTTCCCAGGTACGTAAGTACAGGAATTGCATCTCTACAAAAGGAATAAGGGCTCTCCTAACAGCACCCTTAATAAACTGCAGCTCCCAGAATTATTTGGGGGAAGCCACCATTATTGTTTAAAGTGCTTTAAATGTATGACATGAATGTGGCCCTTGTTTCTAATATGGAAGATTTCCTCTGTAAAGTACAGCCAGCACCAGCATCCATTGTGTTTTGGCATCTGTTAAATACTTACGCGTTTAACCAAACATTTGCTGATCTTAACAACAAGCTTTTAGTGAAATGATAACTTCTTCTACTGTGGCTTTGCTTGCATTTGTTGTTTTATTATGTTCTGTAAACTGCTCTGGAATACGATAATGAAAGGGCAGTTTTAAAATAAATAAGAAATCGTACTGATTTGCCTGGCACAAGACTCTATAATACTTGAGAACAGAAGCCTCCGACTTTTCTAGTGCATACAACATTTTTAGCATTCCCGAAGTTCCTTTAAATATTTGAAGAATAAGATCTGTTTCAGTAAAAATAAGCAGAAGTTTAGAAGTCTTAACTTCAGATGTGGTTTCTACATTGTGCAAGTAAGGTGTAGTTAGATGTTAACAGTCTGCAAATTCCTGGGTGGGGGGTTGTCACCAGCTCCTTTTACTTTGCTCACCCACCACACTGCTTATTGCTTCGCTGTTTCACTTAATATATACAGCAAGTGTACTGTACCTGTTTTCCTCTGTCAAAGACTGGAAGATGTGCGAAAATCTATTTTTGGACTTTATTATTTAGCACCTAGTACATTTCTGGCGCAATATAAAATGAATAAATAATACCTACATTTTTAACATCCCCTGTCACAAGGGCTCCAGTAGTTGACAATGCATTAATTAAAACACACACAAAATAGGTTAGTTTAGAAGAAGGAAGACTTCGTGAATGTTGACCTCCTTATCTCTGACCTCCTGAAAAGAAGTAATGGTATCGTACGTGTGTCGGAAACTGTATATCCTTATTTCTGAAGGTTTTGGCATGAGATCTAGCCTATGAATTGCCGAATCATCATTGCTGTCTGGGGGCTATTGGTTTTCTTGAGACAAAAAATTAGGGTTTCAGTTTAGGTGTCCACTAGGCCTATAAATCTGAAATTATTGTAGCTAATGCAAAGGTAAACTTTCTGCTAATTGGAAACTATGAGGGAGGAAAGGGGGTATTCTTGTTGTAAAATAGGAGAATATTTTCTAACTATTTTGATTTTCTGAACTCATGATGTCTAAGTATAATCAGTAAAATGATGGTTCTGGATTCCATGCCTATAGGGGACAGGACAGGAGCCCATCATCGCCTTCTGATATCTCCCTGCTAGCAATAGGCTGACCCTTTGCAGAGCAGTTCTCTTAATAATTACCAGATCCTGCAGTTAAGTTGCAGATGGCTCATGAACACAATCAAAGGCAATGGAATGATATAATAGAATCAATAATCCTATCCTCCCCTCCCAATGGATCACTGTGTGTAAATCATTAATCAAAGCCACAAACAGGGTCTGAGTGGTCTCTAAGATTGCTGGAGGTATGGGAATCTGATTTTATCAGGTGTATCTGCAACCTGAGTGCCTTGCCTCTATTTGGTCACCAGCCGCCTTTTCTTGATATTCCAACTGGGAATCAGAATCCAGTAATGTCTCCGAGGGGTGCTTGTCCAGTCTCATACTGCAAACATCCAAGGGAAGGAGATTTTACACTCCGGTTATGCTCCTTAGGTTCCAGGGCTCTCTTCCTTTTAGTCATGAGACTTTTCATCCATTAAATCTTAAAGCGAGGCTTGTTGCAAACCTCATTACCTTCCTTGTTTTGCAGGTATTCCACCTCTGGCTTCTCCAGGCTGGAGAAAGTGGGCATCCGCCACCCTCCACCTTTGCCTTTCATCGGGAACCTTTTGTACTTTCGAGAGGTAAGACACACTCTCTAGATCCGGTGCCTCTTTCTGGATTTCTGTTTCTACCGGCTTCCTGCCATTTTCCTTTTTGCATTTCACAGTTGAATGCAACATAAATCCATGAGCGGGAGGGGTTCCATGTTTTTAAGTTCACAGTAACCTTGCTTGTTGAAGCAGAATCTGGTGAAAACCATAAAAATCCCAGAAATTAGTTTCTTTTGGAGATTCTAACTATTCTCTACTACAGTTGCACAAAGATGGGAGAGTCTGCAAGATGTATTGCAGTGTTGCGAACCAAATTGGTTCCCTCTGGACAGGGCTTTCAGAGGTAAGAAGCCCAATTTCTACAATCCCACACAGGTCATCATTACTACTTGTGGATCTTAGCCTCAAGTAATGTGTAAAAGGTAAAGGACCCCTGACATTTAAGTCGAGTGGCAGACGACTCTGGGGTTGCAGTGCTCATCTCACTTTACAGGCCGAGGGAGCCAGCGTTTGTCCGCAGACAGTTTTTCCAGGTTGTGGCCAGCATGGCTAAGCTGCTTCTGGCGCAATGGAACAGCAAAACCAGAGCAGCGCACCGAAACGCCATTTACCTTCACGCCGGGGCAGTACCTATTTACCTACTTGCACTTTTTTTGGCGTGCTTTCGAATTGCTGGGTTGGCAGGAGCTGTGACCGAGCAACAGGAACTCAGTCTGTTGCTGGGATTTGAACCGCTGACGTTCTGATCTGTAAGCCCAAGAGGCTTAGTGGTTTAGACCAGTGTTTCCCAACCTTTTTTGGGGCAAAGGCACACTTGTTTCATGAAAAAAATCTCGAGGCACACCACCATTAGAAAATGTTAAAAAATTTAACTCTGTGCCTATATTGACTACCGTATTTTTCGCCCCATAGGACGCACCGCCCCATAAGACGCACCTAATTTTTTGGGGGGAGAATAAAGAAAAAAAATTTTTTTCCCTCCCCAGGCACGGGGCAGGCGCGGGGGAAGCCCAAGCTTCCCCCGACCCCAGAACAGCCTGATATCCGCAAGCCTAGGGAGCCACACTGGTCTCCCCAGGCTTGCGGAGAGGTGCGTGAAGCCCGGGGGCGCTCTTCAGCGCGCACCAGGCTTCGGGATGCAGGCAGCTCTGCGCTACCCTCCAGAGCCCCATGCGGCTTCGCGCTGGGATCCGGGGGGTGGCGCGGAGCTGCAAGAAGCCCTGGAGCGCAGGCAGCTCCGCACCACCCTCCGGAGCCCCGCGCGGCTTCGCGCCAGGATCCAGAGGGTGGTGCAGAGCTGCAGGAAGCCCTGGAGCCCAGGTAGCTCCGCGCCACCCTCCGGAGCCCCGCGCGGCTTCGCGCCGGGATCCGGGGGGTGGCGCGGAGCTGCAAGAAGCCCTGGAGCGCAGGCAGCTCCATGCCACCCTCCGCAGCCCCGCGCGGCTTCGCGCCGGGATCCGGGGGGTGGCGCGGAGCTGCAAGAAGCCCTGGAGCGCAGGCAGCCCCGCGCGGCTTCGCGCCGGGATCCGGGGGGTGGCGCGGAGCTGCAAGAAGCCCTTGAGCGCAGGCAGCCCCGCGCGGCTTCCCGCCGGGATCCGGGGGTGGCGCGGAGCTGCAAGAAGCCCTGGAGCGCGGGCAGCTCCGCGCCACCCTCCGCAGCCTCCTACGGAGGGCGCCCCGTGCTCCGCGCTGCTGGCTGCCGCCCGCAAGCCGTGCACGCGGGGGGGGGGAGTTCCCCTGGGCGCGCAAGGCTTGCGGACAGCTGCGCGAAGAACGGGGCGTCCTCCAAAGGGCGCCCCGCGCTGCAGGTTCCCGCCCCCCGCCCCACTTCGGAGCCTCTCCCGCCTCCCTCCCACGGCACACCAGGCAAGGTCTCACGGCACACTGGTGTGCCGCGGAACACCGGTTGGGAAACACTGGTTTAGACCACAGCGCCACCCGCCCCCTAAGTAATGTGTACACATTACTAATTATTCCACCTCCAGTGCACTTCTATCACTGGTGCTTGAAGGTGAGCGTACATCCATTGTATACCTATGTTCTCTGTAGCTGAGTGGATGAGATGTTGGATTTAAACTGGGGAGGCTTAGGTTCAGTCTTCCATCTGTCTTGAAGCTCACGGGGTAAGCAGTTCAACCTACCTCACAGGGCTGTTGCGTTCTTTGGAGCAGGAAGGGCATGTGTATCATCCTTAGTAGTAGTAGTAGTAGTAATAATAATCACAACAATAACAATAATAAATAAAATTAAATATTATTATTATTATTTATACCCTGCCCATCTGTCTGGGTTTTCCCAGCCACTCTGGGTGGCTTACAGCAGATCTAAAAACATAATTAAAAACATCAAACACAGAAAACCTCCCAATACAGGGCTGCCTTCAGATGTCTTCTAAAAGTTGTGTAATTCTTTCTCTCCTTGACATCTGAAGGGAGGGCTTTCCATTAGGGAGGGTGCCACTACCAAGAAGGCCCTCCTGAGCTCCTTAGAGGAGGAGGGGGAAATACAAACCTTAATGAGAATTGTTTGGATTTGCCCTTTGTTCCTTTTCACTTAAGGAGGAAAACCTTAAAAGTGTGAAGTGCCTGGCTTTTGTGGCTCTGTCTGCACCTGCACCTTACCCTATGTTTTCCTTCATTCTCCACTGCAAACTTTCCCCCTCCCCCTCGCCTTTTTATTTCATTTTATTAGCTAGGCTGCTGACAGGCTGCATGCTGCTTCCCTGCCTTGAATTTTAATGGAGACATCACTCTTTCTTCAGCCTCTCTCAGAGTGGACAGGATATTCTTTGTTTGCGCTGTTTATTCTCGTCTGGCCTACTTGTAGTTCCTGGGCTGCTGCCTCCGAGTGGCCCACTTCTGCTGAATGGAAAATGGGGGCTGCGTTGGAGGGAGGGGTGGAAGACCGGGGAGCTTTGTCTCAATTTAGATTTTGGTCTGGCTGGGTTGAGCTGTTTTATAGCCATTGGGAGGGTGGAGGCGGCAAAGTGGCAGTGGGTGGGTGAGACACAGAAAAGGCAACTCCTTCCTCACCCCGCATCTGCCAACCCCCCACCCTTTGATAAGCAAGTAAAGGAAAACAAACTGCTAAGTGCATGGAGTGGCTTGAAATCAACCCTGGCGTAATTTTGGAACTAGAACTCTGATTCTCCCAGGTTTGAGAGACAGGAGCTGTAGAAACTGGAAACCATAAACTGAATAGGTCTGTGAAGAGACAAATGATAAGCTGAAGGTATATTGTCTGCAGCCCTCGTTTTAATTACGGCTTGCAGAGATAGTAAAAGGCTTGCGTTGTGGTGTTGTGTTGCGTTTGGAGAGACAAACAGAATGGAAATTGAGGGGAGACTACTTAACATGGCCCTTGTCTGGTATTTACACAGACTGGAAAAAAAGGAAGCAGTGGCTCAGTTAAAAACAACAAATCCATTGGTTCCCCCATTTGGACAAGGGCCTGTACAAAAGGCTCATACTGAAACCTTTGCAAAATTGTGTGAACCGTCAGCTGCACTAGGCAAGCCATTCTCGCTTCATTGTCATATATATTCACAATATAAAAAATACTGCTTCTAATTGATACATAGGGTAGGAGAATGTATCTCAGTTCTAACAATATTCTTGGCTGGCTTGACTCGAAAACGAGTGTGGAAACTGTGTTTCAAGAGTTAATCTGCTATATATCTACATTTTAGCAATATGTAGAGAAATCTGAATACCCCACCATTGGTTTGACAGTGGAGATCCATTTGTGAAAACAAATTCAACCAGGGGATGCAACCCTGCAAAAGACCATTTCTAATTGTCTTGAAAATGAGGGTGCTTCACACTTTCAAACCCCAAATTCTTCGCAAGGGGGGGGGGGAACTGTGAGAATGGGAAAACAGGCAACAGTATTTCAGGCAGTATAATTTCATAAAGCAAAGTGCAATTACCCATACTTATTATGTTTATTCCCAACTGACTTGTGAGGCTGATACTTTCACATGCAAATCCATTTTCTTATAGAGACACAGATTTCAAAAATCTCTCTCTCTCTCTCTCTCTCTCTGTGTGTGTGTATATGTATATGTATATGTATATGTGTGTATGTATGTATATATATATATAGAGAGAGAGTCATATATAGTTATATATAACTAACATTTGTTGACAAGGTCCTTTGGGCAATTCACACAGAGTATACAGTGGTACCTTGGATTAAGTACTTAATTCGTTCCGGAGGTCCGTTCTTAACCTGAAACTGTTCTTAACCTGAAGCACCACTTTAGCTAATGGGGCCTCCTGCTGCTGCTGCCGCCCGCCATTCAATTTCTGTTCTTATCCTGAAACAAAGTTCTTAACCTGAAGCACTATTTCTGGGTTAGCAGAGTCTGTAACCTGAAGCGTATGTAACCTGAGGTACCACTGTATATGCAGTTAAAGCATTAGCATATTGATTTAATAATTGAAACATCAACATTATGCATTCTCAAGCTAAGATTATGAAATTGTGTCAGAACCGTAGCATCGTAGAATTGGAAGGGACCACGAGGATCATCTAGTCCGTCCAACCATCTGCAATGCAGGAATTTTTCTGCCCGATGTGGGGCTCTAACCCACGACCCTAAGAGTAAGAGTCTCATGCTCTACCAACTGAGCTATCTTGTTCTCAGCCCATACTTTGAGAGTAATCTTTCTCAAAGCCCTCTTGATGCGTTACTCAGTCAAAGAGGGAAGTTGAGGCGGGTTGGGGGGCAGTGGCAGCAGTCCCCACGGCTTCCCCCCAGCCCTACCATATGCTGGTGGGGCTGGCCGAGATGGGGAAGCCTCCATGCATTTACACATTTACCTCTGTGCAGAGGCTTCCCCAGTTCTGAAGCCCCGGTTGTGCAAGGTTCCAGAATCAAAGAAGCCTCTTGGATGTACAAAGCGTTTCTCCAGCATCTCCAATGGCTGGAGAATGGCTCCAGATGTACAAAAGTTTCTCCAGCATCTCCCATGGCCATGCTAACACACTAAGGCATGAATAGTGGGAACAGGGTTGGGGGCGGAAAG